AGCTCCAGCGCACGGGGGGTGCCTGCTGGGGCCGAAATGTAAAGTCGTAGTCGAGCTTGAGTAGTAGCGGCACGTGGTCCTGCAAGCCTTTCTGCAGGTTGAGCTTCAGGCGTAAGTTCTTCCTGCGCAACGCGATGCACGTCCGTGCCTGCGGGAGCTGCCGCGCGTATACCCCGATGTAGTCGATGCAGCTCGACCCCTGATGCCCGAAGTACGTGTCGCCAACGTTGAAGAACGTGGTAGCCACAGTCACCGCATGCTTCTCGAACATTTCGAGCACCTGGTCCGCCGCATACCTCTGCTGGTGCTGTGCGAACGGGCCCAGCGCTGGAGACTGCACCCGTGCGTTCTGGCCCTGCAGTTGGCGCGCCCCGAACGAGTCGTTGAGGTCGAAGCCCACCAGTAGAGCCGAGCGCTTCGCTGTCCACGTCAGCGTGCGCTCCAACCACTGGCACATGACATCGACCGTGTCGCGGTAGCGAGCATGCGCTGGAGGGCCCGCCAGCGTCTCCCGCCCGACGCGCCGAGAGGACGGCCGTGGCGGGAAGTAGAGAATCGGGATCACTATGTCGAAGCGCCCAGAGCGAAGTCGGAAGACTGCCACACGACCCTGCAGAGATATCGGGACGCTCGGGACATCGTACACATCCTTCGGTTTGAGCACCCTCTTGCGCAGAAGAAGAGCGATGCCGCAGGCTCGAGAGACGTGCACGCCAGGGACGAAACCACATCGCAGCACGAAGTGAAAGCGGAGGTCCGTGCACACAGGGAGACGATCTGCCTCAGCTCTTTCGCCCGTGCTGGTCACGGCAACAATGTCAGTAAATCGAAACTCCTCGGACAGGTCCTGATAGCGCTCGACGTCCCCATGCTGACAGTTCCACGCCACAAACGTGAACATGTCACTGACTGCCAGCCAGAGAGCGCACACAAGCACGAATATACATCGAGCACAGTGTGATGGGTGAGTGCGCGGGCCTGGGAAGAGGGAATGTGGCGATGAACGTTGCGGTATCGCTGCCACGCCTGCCCCTGCTGCAGGGAAACTCCTGGGCGCGCGGGGGCTGGAGGAGGAGGAGGAGGAGGAGGAGGAGGAGGAGGAGGAGGAGGAGTTGGGGTAGAGTTGGGAGGCCAAGGGTAGGCAGTGCGAATGAGAGTGAGGGTGACGAGGAGGAGGAGGAGGAGGAGGAGAGGAGGAGGAGAAGGATGAGGAGAAGGAGGAGGAAGAAGAGGAGGGAGTAGGAGGAGTGAGGGGAAGGAGGAGGAGGGAGGAGGAGTAAGGAGGAGGAGGAGGAAGAAGAGAGGACGCGGAGGTGGTGAGAGGAGCAGGATGAGGAGGGGAGGAGGAGGAGGAGGAGGAGGAGGAGAGTAGGAGGGCAGTCTGAGGAGGAGGAGGAGAAGAGAGGGGGAGAGTCGGGAGGCTGAAGGTCGACCGTGAGAGTGCCGGTGCGATCGGGATTGTTACAGAAAGGATGTGTACGGAAATCGACCGTAGTTTCTGATCGTTTTGAACAAGGCTCGGCGTCTGTATCGCTGCGGACGTCGTCCGTGCGAGACAGAATAGGGCGACGAGATCTATGCATATCCACTGCTCCTGGCCAGGCCAATCCTGGGCCCAGGAGCGGTGTATACGCCCTCCTGGCCTGGCCAGGGAGGCATATACACAGCTCCTGGGCCCAGGATGGGCCTGGCCAGGAGCAGTGGATATGTATAGATCTCGTCGCCCTACAGAAGACCACCAAACAGCGGCCGCTATCAATTTCGGACGGCATTTTTTGTTGGGCGGTGTACCCATCTGTTTCGTACCACTTCGGGCGTCCAGAGAGTTCGTGTGAGTGTGGGAGAGAATCGAAAAAAATATCCCAGTGCGACCCTACCTAGGAGTTGGAGCATTTAGGAAAGCAACATCTACATGTACATGCTAAGCTATGCCATGCTATGCTATGCTATGCTGAGCTATGCTATGCTATGCTATGCTATGCTGCGCTTTGCTTTGTCTTGCTTTGCTGTGCACCCAGCGACAGCAGGCTGTTCAGGACTGCTCGCGGCTCCCGCAAGTGCTGCAGGCTGTTCAGCACTGCTTGCACTAGGTTCAACACTGCTCGCGGCTCCTGCAAGGGCTGCAGGCTGTTTAGCACTGCTCGCGGCTCCTGCAAGAGCTGCAGGCTGTTCAGCACTGCTTGCAAGAGCTGCAGGCTGTTCAGCACTGCTCGTGGCTCCTGCAAGAGCTGCAGGCTGTTCAGCACTGCAGGGCCGGCTTTGCGTTGCTTGTGCTTTGCTTTGCTGTTGCTGTTGTTGCTTTGCCTTTGCTTTGCTGCTATGCTATGCTATGCTGTGCCATGCTATGCTGCGCTATGCTATGCTATGCTATGCGTTGCTATGCTGCGCTATGCTATGCTATGCTATGCTAGGGTACGCTGGGCTGCGCTGGGTTATGCCAGGCTATGATATGCTATTCTATGCTGCGCTATGTTATGCTATGCTATGATATGCTATGATATGCTGCGCTATGCTATGCTAGGCTATGCTGTGATATGCTACACTGCGCTATGCTATGCTATGCTATGAAATGCTGCGTAATGTTATGCTGTGCTGTGCTATGCTATGCGGCGCTGTGCTACGCTAAGCAATGCTATGCTATGTTATGCCATGCTGCGCTGTGCTATGCTATGCTACACTATACTGAACTATGCTATGATATGATTGGCTATGCTATGCTATGCTGTGCTAATGCTGCGCTAAGCTAAGCTGCGATACGTTAAGCTACGGTAAGCTAAGCTATGATAAGCTAAGCTAGGCTAGGCTAAGCTAAGCTCAGCTAAGCCAAGCCAAGCCAAGCCAAGCTAAACTAAGCTAAGCGAAGCTAAGATGATATAAGCAAAGTTAAGCTCAGCTAAGCTAAGCTAAGCTAAATTAAGCTAAGCTAGGCAAGGCTAAGCTAAAGCTAAGCTAAACTAAGCTAAGCTAAGATGAGATAAGCTAAGCTAAGCTTAGCTTAGCTAAGCTAAGCTGGGTGAACCCAGGGGGCGCAACTGGGGGAACCGCGGGGCGGATACTGGGGGAGCCGCCCGGGGCGGTGTGCACTGCCCGGTCCCTTTTAAGGAAGAGAGTAAGAACCCTCTAGGCAGAGCCTAGGCAGGGAATCAAAGACATGGATTAAGGCGCGTGGACAAGCGACGGGTCCAGATTGCATACGGACACGGCACGCTCCGTCGCCAAATCGTGTGGTGTTGGCGCCATCTGTTGCCCCAGTGTGTAGAGTTGGCGCCCCTCGCGCCAGATCCGCGGATCCCCAATCCGTGTCCGTGTCAGCGTACGCACGAGAGAAATTGAGGATGGGTCAGGGCGGGGAGGACGAGAGTGCGGATGAAACGTATACGATACCGAAGATGCCAGCAGGAGTGCGTGTAAAGATGAGAATACAAACGTCGTGTGGCGATGAGCGGTACCGATGAGGGAGGAGGAGTGTGCGGTGAACGGGTTCTTGCGGGGAGAGCCCAGGGCGTAATGATAGCCCTTCGTATTTTGTTGGTAAGAGATGCAGCAGAAGCTGCTCTCCGTTATCCTCCTGGCCATCTTCGATTTATCTTTGCCTTCATCTTTATCTGAGATCCGACATCGTGCAAAAGTACGCTAGTTCGAGAAATCATACCCATAGCTCTGGACCCAGTCTTTCTGCGGCGCTTGTCGAGTCGGATCGATCTGTCAGGGTCCCAGGGCCCGAAGATGGGCGAAGTCGCCAGGCGTGAGTACCGTAGTGTTGGGTATCGTCTTCGGTGGAGCGCCCTATGGGCCACGCAACGTTGTACTGGGTGGGGGAGACGCATGCGGGCGGTGGCACTGGGACCTTCGGTGGAGCTCCCTATGGGCCGCGAAACGCTGTACTGGGTGGGGGAGACGCATGCGAACTTTGCCACTGGGGCCTTCGGTGGAGCTCCCTATGGGACACGAAACAGTGTATTGGGAGGGAGAAACGCATGTGGATTTTGCCACTGGGGCCTTCGGTGGAGCTCCCTGTGGGGCCACGAAACGTTGTACTGGGTGGGGGAGACGCATACGGACGGTGCAACTGGGGCTGTCGGTGGAGCTCCCTATGGGGCCACGAAGCGCTGTATTGGGTGCGGCGGACGCATGCGGGCGGTAGCGCTGGGGCTGTCGGTGGAGCTCCCTGTGGGGTCACGAAGCGCTGTACTGTGTGCGGGGGACGCATGCGGGCGGTAGCGCTGGGGCCGTCGGTAATGCTCCCTGGGTCCCTGTGGGGCCGCGTAACGCCGCACTGGATGGGGGGGGGATGCATGCGGGCGGTAGCAATGAAACCTTTGGGTGGAGTTCCGTATGGGGCCACGAAACACTTTACTGGGTGCGGGGGACGCATGCGGGCGGTAGCACTGGGACCTTCGGTGGAGCTCCCAATGGGGCACGGAACGCCGTACTGGGTGGGGGCGGACGCATGCGGGCGTTAGCACTGAGGCCTTTGGTGGAGCTCCCTGCAGGGCCACGAAACGCTGCATGCGGGCGGTAGCATTGGGACCGTCGGTGGAGATCCACATCGGGCCACGAAACGTGTGAGGGGTGTGCCGCAATGGTAGACTGATGCGGAGAGCAGAGGCAGGGATTGGAGGAGGGAGCGGGAGGAGGAGAGGAGGAGGAACGCGGGTCGCTGTCTCTTCCAAACGATGACCCGAAACCACAGGATGGTTGGGAAAAAGCGGCGCCTGGATCTCACAGTCCGCCTTTTTCTCGGGGGCGGCCACGAAGGTGGGTGATGAGAGGATCAGGGGGAATGCATATCATGGCCGGCGCCATGCTCGATGCACGGATATCGTTGCCTTGGCTCAACTCGTCCCTGCTTTTCCCCCCGATGGGCGATCGCCCCCCACTTCCCTTGGCATCGCTCGGACGTGTGCATCTTCTCGCTCAGCCTCCCCGCGGCCCCTCGGCCTCCCCGCGGCCCCTCCGACAGGCGCGGCCCCCCGGCGGCCACGGCGCCACGGCCGCAGGGGTGGCTGCCGCGGCCGCGCTCCAGGCGCCGAGGGTGCAGGGCCAGCAGATCCGGGCCGCCCCAGAACCCAGGCCTCCCAAGTCTTGGCGTCGCTCGGACGTGCGCCTCTCGCCTCCGGCGAGGACCATCGGGGAGCGTCCCTGATCACTTGGCGAACAAGCCACGCACGAGCACCCTTGATCCTTTGGCGACAAAGCCACGCGCGAGCACCCTTGATCCTTTGGCGACAAAGCCACGCGCGAAACCGGACAGGAACACCGGGAATGGACGTCCGAGCGACGGCGCGAATCCAGGCCTCCCGAATCGGACCAGAGCAGATCGGGTCGGAGGATCGCGCGCATCGCCGACGCACCGGCGATGCGGCTCGATGTGGAAGCCCGGCGTCGCCGATGCCTCGGTGACTCAGTGGCGCTGCGCTGCTCGGGCGCCCCGTTTTGGGGAGGCCTCCAAGGGCGCAGGGCCGCGAGGGGCAGCCCAGAGGATCGAGGTGAGCACGGAAGGAATGATTCGATGCTCGTTTGGGGGACCTTCCTGGGGCCCACCTCATGGATCTGTTCGACTCAGGTTCGACTCAAGTGCGACTCAGGTTCGACTCAGGTTCGACTCAGATTCGACTCAGGTTCGACTCATATTCGACTCAGGTTCGACTCAGGTTCGACGCAGCTTCGACGCACGAGCGGAGCGAGTGGCTCCAGGAAGGCCCCCAGAATGAGCATCTAAGAATGATGACGGAGGGCGGTAGCAGTTCCTGCCGTGTCCGAGTATGAGTAGGGCTCACAGCCGGTGTCGCCGCGGACGTGGGCCGCTTGAGGCACGAAGCCGCATCCTCAGCAGCCCGAAAAGTGCACCTTTCTTCCCCCCGACATTTTTCGCCGCCCCGTGCAGTGACGCCCAGCCCAGTAAGCCAGCGTTTCATCCCGGGGGGCAGCTTTCTGCCGGTCCCGGAGCCCAGTGAGGGCCCCTCTGGAGCCTGAAAGAGCTGCGACACCTTTCCGCACCTGTTCGTTTCAGTACGTAGTCAGCGTTTTTGGGACAAGCATTGCTTGGACGGGGCTAGGAGGAGGTGGAGGAGGAGGAGGAGGTGGAGGAGGAGGAGGAGGAAGGAGCGAGGTCTAGGAATGTGGAGGAGGAGGAGGAGGAGGAGGAGGAGGAGGAGAAGGAGGAAAAGGAGGAGCAGGATGAGGTGGGACGGGGCTAGGACGAGGAGACATGCGGTGCAGATTCGGAACGCTGTCAGAGCGTTCCGGGACGCTCTGAGAAGGCCGCAGCGCCCGATACATCCGCCAGAGCAGCCAGAGCTCAGAGATTCTCGATTTCTCTTCACCCGATTGGATCCTCGTCCTGTCTTCGTCTTCATTGCAGGAGGGTTCCGCATCCTGCCCCTCCCGTCCTCCTGACCCTGGCCCTCCCCCTCATCCACCACTGGACGTCTGGGGCCTTGCCTCGCAGGCGATATATCTCTTTCAACTCCCGACTCTTTGACGAAAAACGAGGCAGCCGAGAAAGGGAGGGAAACCCCAGGACGCACCCCGGGGGGGCTATTCTGACGCACCCCTATTGAGGACGGACGCCCCCGTCTCGTATATCCCAGGGTTGGGCCCCGAATGTTTGGTCCATTCGGAACCCCGCGGAGCCTGGGATCGGCGTCACCCCAACATACTTATACTATGTGTGCGTCGCCCCCCAGGGGCGACGCGCGCACCGAGAAATCTTATTGTATATGCGTCGTGGCGGGCGCTTTCTGGCCACACCGCTCAGGAAACGATACACTACAAGATTGGCATACTATATATGTTCGGGTCGGACGCGCGCCTCCAAGGAGGACACATAGTGTTAGTATGCCTCTGTGCGTCCCACAGTGCCCTCCTCGCTCGGCAAGAGGGGGCGCACACTGGTCTTGGGTTCGGTCGTCGTCGTCGTCGTCGTCGTCGTCGTCGTCGTCGTCGTCGTCGTCGACGTCGACGTCGACGTCGACGTCGACGTCGACGTCGACGTCGACGGCGGCGCGGGCGGGGATCGCCGGCCCCCCTCCCGGGGCTGCGGCCTGCGCGCGCGGGCGAGGAGGCAGGCACGGAGCCCTGAGAGTCAGTTCGGACGCCACTCCTGGGAGGGCAAACATTCGGATTCTGCCCTCGTCTGAAATCCGGCGCCCCATGGGATGGGGGTCGACGTATCGCCTGCATGCATGCGGCGATCCCTCAACCACACCCCTGCATCGGATGACTGCTGCTTCTGCCGCCGGGAGGGGCCACACATCGTGCCCCCCCCCGCCCTCACTGGAACGAAGGATTGCAACAAAAAACCCTCCCTCGAACGAAGGATTGCAAAAAACCCTCCCTTGAACGAAGGATTGCAAAAAAAACCCTCCTGCCCCTCCTCGAGCGAAGGATTGCAAGGGTTTTTTTGCAATCCTTCTGCCCCTCCCCCCCTCCCTTGAACGAAGGATTGCAAAAAAACCCTCCTGCCCCTCCTCGAACGAAGGATTGCAAGGGTTTTTTTGAAATCCTTCGTTCGAGGAGGAGGAGGAGGAGGAGGAGGAGGAGGAGGAGGAGGAGGAGGAGGAGGAGGAGGAGAGGGGGGGGGGGGGTCGACGTATCGCCTGCTGCTGCCCCTCCCCTCCCGCCGAGCCCCCTCCTGCCCCGCGGGCGCGCGCTCTGCCGCTGGCCGCCCCTCCGGGCCCGCCGCCGCCGCCGCTGCCGCCCGACCAGAGGCTCCGCTCGAGATCGGCCCCTGGCCCCCCCAGAAATTCCTCCTCCTCCTCCTCCTCCTCCTCCTCCTCCTCCTCCTCCTCCTCCTCCTCCTCCTCCTCCTCCTCCTCCTCCTCCCGTGCCCCTCCTCCTCTTCCAATTCCTCCTCCTCCTCCCCTCCTCCTCCTCTGCCCCCTTTCTGGAGTCCGTCCTAGCCGTCCGAGTTCCGAGCCGCGTCCGGCCGTGGCGGCAATAGCCTCCGGGAGCGTCCCAGAAGCCTCCGGATGGAAGATGCCCTCAGGCACAGTCGAGCAGCATCAAGAAAGTCTGAAAGGAGGGAGGGGGAGCGAGACAGGAGGAAAACAGTAAGTAGGGAGCCTGCAAGGTGCAACAAGGAGGTTGCATTTGAGGCGCGTTTTATTCCTCATATGTAGTGCCACCCGTGTTCTGTTGCACCCTGCTTTGAAAGGGGTCCAGGGGCATGGAGTGCTCGATATGGTGCAACAAAGAGGTTGCATTTGAGACGCGTCTTTTTCCGCATCCGTGGTGTCATCTCGCCCTGGGAACAAAAACGAAACGAATATTGTGCGCTAGAACAACAAGCATCAAGAAAGTCTGAAGCCCCACAAGTGCAACTGCATCTGATAAGGAGCAGCCACAGCGAGTCAGGAGGCCTCTTTCTGCGAGGCGGCCGCGGAGGAGGGCACGGAGTTCCTTACGCCTACGATTGGTTCACATCGCTCAGCAAGTTTGAGCGCCTTCTCCGTCGAAAACTTCCCGCACCGGACGCAAACAATCACGAGACATTCGCGAGGCAGGACCCAGGACACATGCAGTTTGTGACCAACATGTCCAGGTTGCTTGAGGACCCTCATTCTGCTGGCGTTCAGGCTCTTGCATTCGAAACGGGTTTTGGCCCAGACGCGACAGAGACAGCAAGCACACCTCCAGACTCCCCAAAGCCAACAAGGGGCGTGTGGGCTTCTGGGACCCCATCTCACAGCATGTGGGCCCACGTTCCCCTTTGCTAAGCTCAGGGTGCAACTCTGTTGGGACAGGCCACTCGGCAAGAGTCTGAGCAATAGCATTTCTAAGAGTCTCATAGTGAGTCTATGTGTGCCTGATCTCATCACACTTGTGCCGGTCGAATTCGTGAGCGCGGGCATTTTGGTTGGCTAACCAATCCGCACCTCTGTTGCCAGCAATGTCTTTCTCTTCATCTGAGTTGGCGGCATTTGGGTCTTTCTGGTGGGCCGTCACATGCCTAATGTCCAATCAACCTTCGGCCATGCCGACCCCAATCTTACAAAGGAAATGAGCATGGAGAGTGTTCCCGCTGAGGGCTGCTTTGGGGCGACGGCAGCCTTCAGCAGGGCTTTGACATCTATGGCGATCTGGTTCGGGAAAGTCTCTGTGTGCACAGCAGACACCATGGTCGCATCATGCTCAGCCACACAAGAGCTCTGACGAAACAAACGAGAATAGATGCCCCGAACTATCCGCCCAGACGGATCCAACTCACAAATCCTAAAGCACTTGCGGGCCAGGTCCGGAAAACCAGGTTGCAGACAGGACCCGTCTGAATAGACCACCGCACCCTTTGATAATTAAACATGGTGGCAATCGTTCAGACTTCCATCCATGTTCCTGGGATCCCCGTCTCCCGCTGGGTCAGGGGCATCAAAACGTGAAAGCCAGGCACCGGCAAAAAAGATCATCGGGTGGTCTTACTTCCTTGGCGTTCTCAAACAGGGAGGGCGGGCAAACTTCAGCTCTCTTCTCTTCGCCATGCGGGCACTCCCGTACGCGATGGAATACAGTATCAGGCTTCGGGCAGAAGAGGCACTTAGGGCTGAGGCTGTACCCCCATCTACGCAGTGCCTCTGCCTTGGGGGGTGGCTCCTCCCATGGCCTGCTTTAAACATGCAATCGCCCTAGATGGCAGCTCGCGTGCTCACTTATAATTAAAACACTTTGCAGTTGCATCCACCCAGAGTCCTCGGGAATTTAAGGCTGCAGCCTGTTCCTTCCGGGCGGGTGGTTGTCCTGGTGACGAATTGTTGGGTCTTAGCATTCTTGAGCTGCGACAGAAGCTTTCTGGCAACACACCTTGGCGTGACAACGCTGAGCCCTATCTCGACACCCGTCGAGTCTACGACGACGGACGGTCTCCTGAAAGTCCATCCTCCTCCGCGGGCCCTGAGCAGCATATCAGACAGGGAACCCCTGCTGTATTTAAACCACCCTCGATTCGACGGGCGTGCTCGCGGCGCCGCAGACTGAGCCACCATAAAAGCCTTGTTGAGTTGGGCAGGCGTGAAGCAGTCGCCTTGCATTGGCTGAAGGTCTTGCCTGGGAGCAGTGGCCATCCACCTCTCAGCAGCATGTCGCTCGAAGGTCGTGCCCGCAGCCTCGAGCGGGTCTTCTGACCTTCGAAGGACCCCGGGATAACTTTAGAGATGCCCTCCTCCTGATCCCTCCTCCTCCTCCTCCTCCTCCTCCTCCTCCTCCTCCATCTTCGAGCTTTCGTGCTGTGGGTTTCGGTACCACGTGGGCGCAGCCCTACCCCCCTCCTCCTCCTCCCCCTCCTCCTCCTCCTCCTCCTCCTCCTCCTCCTCCTCCTCCTCCCTCCTCCTCCTCCTCCTCCTCCTCCTCCTCCTCCTCCTCCTCCTGATGCCTCCTCCTCCTCCTCCTCCCCTCCTCCTCCTCCTCCCCCTCCTCCTCCTCCTCCTCCCTCCTCCCTCCTCCCTCCTCCCTCCTCCTCCTCCTCCTCCTCCATCTGCGCTGGGCGCCTCGCAGCGGCCTCCCCTGCCCTGCAGCTCTCGGCCCCCCTGTCGCGGCCCGCGCTCCTCGCGCGGCGGGCGCTCTCTTCGGTCGGATGTCCTGCTGCTGTCGTGTCTGCCCACGGCACGATTTCCGTCGGGCCTGTCCCTCTACAGGGAGGAATGTCCAGAAGCAGTCAACTTTTTTTGTTTTTGCTCTCTTCGCTGGCTCGTCTACTCCGTCCCGTGCCTTGTTCTTCACCGATGTCGTAAGCATGGCCTGTCGCACTGCCCCCCAGTAGGTCCCAGGTAGTGCCTGGGTCGGTTCAACATAAGATGGGGACGATTTGTTGATTACTTCTTGACTCTCTTGGAATCTGTTTTAGGTATATTTGGTGTGTCGCCCAAAATCCGCCTGTAAGGGGCACGCCCGAGCTAACACTCGATGGAGGCGAGGCCCTTCCTTTAGCAACGTTCTCGCGCCGGCGCGTCTCTACGTACAGACGGGTCGGTGCGTGTTGGGGGCCTGTCCTCTCGAGGCACACCCCGACTCGGGCCATGATGAAGCCTCGCTTGCGTGGCCATGTGGGGACTTGCCTGGCTTGCCAGCTCAGCAGCAACGAGGGCCAAGCGCCGGTCATCTCGTGAGGAGGGGCCGACGGGTCTCGTCCCCGAGGCTCCTGGAGGGGCTCCGATGGACATCCGCCTGCGCATGGCCGCCTTGAGTCCAAGCACGCAGGCCCGGGGCGGCACGGGTCCCCGGGGGGGGGGAGTTGGGGCACCGCTGTGGGAGGTCCCCTTGTCCACGCCTCCAGCCCCGAGCCTGCGTGGTGGGAGCTTCTCGGGCCTCGGGGAGGTCGGCCTCCCCCCTCGGTCGGGGCCTTCGGGCGAGGGCCCCCCTTTTTGCGAGAGAGACTCGAGGGGGGCGGACTCGGAGGCGCTCCGTAGCGCCCCGGGCTCCGAGGCAGCGACAGGCTGAGGATGCCCCAGATCATCAGTGGCTCATGGGCCTGTTTTCCACCACCACCACCATAAGTTGGAGGGGGAGGGGGTCCCTCCTCCTCCTCCTCCTCCTCCTCCCCTCCTCCTCCTCCTCCTCCTCCTCCTCCTCCTCCTCCTCCTCCCCCTCCAACTTATGGTGGTGGTGGTGGAAAACAGGCCCATCAGTGGCCCCTGTCTTGCTTCACCCTCCGCCCACTGGGCAGGGGCATCATCCCGTCGCCGAGCCCGAGCCCGAGCCCGCCCCCGCGGACTCCGGCGACCCGCGCGTGGATCAGGCGCAGAGAGGGGGGGGGAGAGGAAGGGGGAGGGAGGGAGGAGTGGAGGGCGCAGGGAGGGAGGGAGGAGGAGGGAGGAGGGAGGGAGGGAGGGAGGGAGGGAGGAGGAGGGAGGGAGGGAGGGGGAAGGAGGATGTGGAGGGTGGGAGAGGGAGGGACGAGCTGGAGGGCAGAGCGGCAGCGCTGGCTGGCGAGGGTAAGTGGCGGGTTCGAGCCGATGTCAGACTGGTGCGCTCAGGGGTGTTCGGGGGAGGGCGGGCGGAGGGAGGGAGGGAGGGAGGGAGGGAGGAGGAGGGGAGGAGGAGAGGAGGAGGGAGGAGGAGGAGGAGGAGGAGGAGGAGGAGGAGGGGGAGGGGGCGGAGGGGAGTAGGGCTGCGCCCACGTGGCACCGAAACCCACAGCACGAAAGCTCGAAGATGGAGGAGGAGGAGGCGGAGGAGGAGGAGGAGGAGGAAAGACGGGAGGCGGGAGGAGGACCCTCCTGGCCTTTCCTATCCCCTCCCCAGCGAAGGCCACTTGGCCCAGAGGCCCAGGGCCACCCCTCCCCCGAAGGCTTTCCCGCGAAGCCCTCCGAGAGAGCCCCGCAGGAGCGGTTTCTCCGAGGCCCCCCCCTCTCCCAAGAGCCCCAGCAGCACGAGGGCGGGAGCAAGCAGCAGCGGCAGCAGCAGCTGCAGCAGCTGCAGCAGCCGCGCAGAGGGACGTCAGCGCGCAGGTCTGCAGGCTGTGGGCTGTGGGCCACTCTGCAGCTCCTCTCGCAGGGCGCGCTCCTGCAGGCACCGCACGCGACCGAGCTCCCGAGCGCCGATCGACGCCGAGCAGGGAAGGCGCGGGGCGACTCGGTCTTCGAGGCGGCTGCGTACGGCCCGATCCACCGCCACGTACGCGTGCCCATTGGCAATGGGTACGTGGGCCTCGAGGTCCAGTCGCCACAGGCGATGCGCGGCCTGTTTCATCAGCATCTCTCCCTCCTTTGCCGTCCGCGTGGGGGACGCCTTTCGCGAGCAGCAGCCTGCGCCAAATCCTGCCAGGCAGCGCGCTCGCGCAGACCGCGAGCAGAAAGCGTTGTGGATGGCAAGGGGGCGCCTTCGAGCTCGGCCCAGCGGCCCCTGCGGCGAGGACGCGCATCGGGCGCGCAAGACCCGAGGCTGCGGCCCCTCGGCGGCGCCTCGACGCCACAGCGTATCAGCTCTTCCGTGCCGAACGGGCGCCTCCCTTGATGCAGGTGGTGGCGACGCAGGGGATGCTGACTCTGCTGGTTAGGGGGGCCACAGGCGAACCCCACCCCTACCCCCCACGACTTCTGAGGGGGAGGGTGGGGTTCACTTCGCTCAGAAACCCCCCCCTCCCCCTCAGAAATCGTGGGGGGTAGGGGTAGGGTTCGCATGTGGCCCCCTAGACGCAGGGGATGCGGACTCTGATGGTGGTGATGGTTGCAGGACTCCTGGCGGGAAGTGACCGTCGTGCGGTCCACGCTTGCGAAGCCCGTCGTGAGCTGCGCGTCGGGGCTGGCCAAGGCCATCGCGTTGTTTTGTTGTCGACGGCGAGGCCACGGCGCACGACGTGGCGACCGCGGGCATCGCTACCGGGCGCCCCCGCGCACGCACGCACCTGTTCTTGCGTGTCGGCGGAACTCTTGCAGACGAAGCGACCATCCACGCGCTGTGCTCATACAGAGGCGCTGGTGGGCTGAAGCCGCGCCTGATGCGCAGCATCCTGTGCAACGGCACTGGCTGTCGCGAGGCCGTCGGCATCGGTGACGCCATCGCGCGCACGTGCGCTCACAGCACGGCGCTGCGTCCACTCAGCCGCGCCGTTCTGGCTGTCACCATGCGATCGCTCGCGCCAGTTGCGGAGATGCCCAGGAGCAAGGGCGAACTGGGGGAGGAGGAGGCCCGACTGGGCTGTACCCTAAAACCAGGCTCCTTGCCGCAATCCGGGCCGTCTCGTCTCTCCTCAGTAAGGTTCACCCAGCGGTCGCTTGCATCTGGGATTCGATGCACTTCCTGTTCGTGACGCGCTCGAAGCATTTGGGCGCAACGAGCTGAAGCCGCTGGATGGCAGGACCGTCGGGGCGTTCAACCCGAAGTTGGCCAAGAGCCATTGGGACGCCGTTGGATTTAACTGCGCGGCCATCGAGGGGGATCGGCGTGATCCAGTGGACCAAGCATTTCATGTTGACAGCTGCCTCGAGGACTCATCGCGATCACTCGGCGCGCGCGCGGCGCTTCGTGCAGCTCGCCGGCACTGCGGGGGCCACCTTCGAGGCCGACCGCTCGCCGGTCGACGCTTGGGCGCTGCGGCACGCGGCGGGGGCCTACCTGGGCGAGTTCGCGCGCCCGTGCGGCACCGAGGCGATGATCCCGAGGTTTCATCATGCATTCGCTTCGCGCGCTCCCCGGCCCGCCCCCGCGGCGGTGAGCTGCAGCCCAGGTAGTTGCGCGTGTCCACGACGGCTTTATGCTGCTATGCCCGCACGGCCGCGCTGCAGTCTGACGAGGTTCGATGCGTCGGCGACGGAGGGGGGGTCGAAGGTCGCGGCGACGAGGGCGCCTCGCGTCGGCGGAGGGGGGGGGGCGGGCGCAAGGATTGCAATGTGGATGCAGCACTACGTCGGCGGCGACGGGAACAGATCTGGCGAGAGCTATGCGGCCGCGAGGACGGCTGGATTCGGCGAGAGTGGGCCTCAGCGCGGCTGTAGCAACGAGAATGGGTAACCGACTGCCCCGGATCATATATCATACACCCTTCCCCCTCTCTAACATGTTTATCCCGTGTCAGTAGGATTTCAGTTGTGGAAAGGGCGCGAAGGCTGGACTTGATAATCCCCGGGGGAAGTTGCGAATCAAAATTGCTGCCATCCCATGTCCAAGGCGAAGCCAGCGGCCAAGGTCAAGGCCAAGGCCGAGAGCAAGGCCAGGTCCAAGCCCTAGGAACCCACGGCGGTCGAGCCGAAGAACGCCACCTTCTAGGAGGTAAGCGCTGCCGCCCAGGCCTGCTCCAAGTGCCTCCCGTGCAAGGACGGCTCCAAAGGATGCCGACCCTGCATGGGCGACGTGTGCAAGAGAGGCTTCTTGGCCAGAAGCGCCAAGGACCTCTCTTGCGCAGGCAAGCTGTAGCCACGAGCCTCGAGATCTCTCGAGTCCGTCGTGTGCCAAGATCTATAAGGTCAGTCTACGAGCGCCCAGGATCATCATCATCGCCATCATCATCAGCATAACAGCACTTTCCCCGGGGAAGTCTTTGATCTCCCAACAGACTCCCGAACTTTCTTATCTCCCGGAGATTATTATCTGGGGCGCAGGGGTGCCCGCTCCCACCCGCGCGCTCACGCGGCGCGCGGGCGCGCGCGCGCGCTCGGATCTCGTTCGCCTGCCCGCGCTCGCTGCGGAGCGGGCGCCTTTGCCCGCGCGCTGGGCGTCGGAGCGGGAGCGCAAGCTCGACGAGATATGCGCAAGCCACATTGATCAGTTGCGCCCAACGGTGCGAAGGGCGGGACAGGTCCGTCTTGAGGGTCGTTGCTGTTGGGCGCGCGCTCGCGGCGTCGCCGAGGGCGCGTTCGACGTGAGCGCGGGGCTCCTGGCGTCGAAGCGCACGCCCAAGAAACGTTCCATTTCCCTGGCTTACATTTCAGGGTCGCCCAGCACGCTCGCGTGAACATCTGCGACCGCGTCCCTGTGGGCGACGCCGCGGTGACGCGGAGCGCGGCAGGCAGCCACGCGACGGGCCAGGTGCTGATCTCGGTTGCCTGCGAGTGCCCTGCGCGCATGGCGGCGCTGCGTCACGCCGCCCCGGTGAACCGGTGGACTTTTCACAGCGCCGAGTGCAGTGCCAGCGTCTGGCGGATTTCGGCGGCACGCGGCGCCAAGCTGCAGTGCGCGGCCTCGGACGAGATTGTGCAGGGGGCGGCCGCGTGGCCTAAAGACTTGGAGATCGCGTGATCTTCCTCAATCCGCCAAGGGACGGCTAATCACACAGAGCTGCAGCTCCTGCGCGCGGAGCGTGGGCGGAGGAGCTCGGCGGCTGCGGCCGCGCAGGAAACACAGAGCTGCAGTTCCAGCTGCTCCGACCTGCATCCTCCGTACCCTCTGCCTCCACCTTGTCCTCCTCCTCGTCCTCCTCCTCCTCACCACCACCACAAAGCGCGAGCTCGTTTACATTTTATGCGATGCACTAAACTAGTCCCACCAGCTTCAGCCTATTTAAGCAGACGCTTCCATGCGCGAGCATCTTAGCGCACGGATGTGCTACTTTTACTTCAAGCTTTTATTTCAAGAGCGCAGCTAAGCTGAAGATGCGTTGCGAAAACCGTTGCGTACCCATCCAGGCTAAACCCGTTGTAAATGTCTGACGCTTCGCGTATCCCCACCAGCCCATCCAGAAGCGATGCCAGGGGAGTCGAGATAATCAGGGAAGCGGGGGAGCATGCAGAAGAACATTGGGCGGGGGAAATTGTCACATACCCCAAGAGGGGGAGGATGGAGGAGGAATCGTCGTTGTCGTCGTCGTCGGAGGAGGAGGAGGAGGGCAATGACGAGAATGAAGAAGAGGAGGTTGAGTAGTGCGAGGACGAGGAGGACGAGAAGGGTGAGAGGGAGGAGAAGGAGGAGAAGGAGGAGAAGGAGGAACAGGAGGAGGAGGGGAGGAGGGGGGGGAGGAAGGAGGAGGAGGATAAGGTGGATGAGGAAGAGAAGGACGGCGAACCGAAGAGCCAGAAGCTTCTAAAATCCCTTTCGGAGATCCTCTTGAGGCTTCTTGGGGGTCTCTTGGGAGCCTCTTGGAGGCCTCCTGGGCGCCTCTTGGGGCTTTCTGGGCGCCTCTTGCGGCCCTCTTGCAGACCTCTTGGGGTTTTTTTCGGGGCCTCTTGGGGCCTCCTGGGCGCCTCTTGGGGCCATCTTGGAGGAGATCGATCAAAAAAGAAAGGAGCTTCAATTACGCCCCCACCCCCCCCAGGAGCCCCATCAATAGCCTCCTGGACCCCCCTTGAGGCGCTCTTGGAGCGCTCGTGGGCGCTCTTAGGGCCGTCTTAGGGCCCTCGTGGGGCCCTCTTGGGGCTCTCCGGGGCCATCTTGGAGCCATCTTGAGGCCTCGACGGCCTCGACTGGCCATCGGAAGCGGAAAAGCGAGAAGGCACAAATCATTGGTTTTCCTTAGGCTGTTGAAGGATGTTGGCCTCTTGGAGGCCTCCTTGGGAAGCTCCTTGGCCTCTTGGAGCTGTCTTGGGGTGGTCTTGAGGCCTCTTGGAGTATCTTCGGAGCAATCTTAAGCCATCTTAGGCTATCTTGAGCCATCTTGGAGCTCATCTTGGGCTCTCCGAGGCGCTCTTGGAGCCATATTGGGCCATCTTGGACGCCCCGACCGCTTGCGAAACGCCCCGTCCAGGTCCAGGGGGAGGGGTAAACCCCTCCCCGAAGGGGAAGAGGGAGGGGTGGAAGAGGAGACGTTTTAGACCACCTACGCCCAGAGGGCTGGTGGGACTATAGTGAACCACTGCGACGCGTTAGCCTGCATAGCTAAAGCTGTATAAAGCTCTGCAGCGGGCCTGTCCAAGTACGCAAGCGGGTGCGTCTCGCTTTTTCAGCCTACTGGGGCCTTCGCCGCGCCATGGGGCCGCCAAAAAACGGTTTGGGAATGTCTGTGTGCGCGCACGCGCGTGTGCTCGAGTGCAGCACCGCGTTTGCGCCAGCTGCTGCGCACCTTGATGACACCCTCCTCAGCGACGAGCAACGATTCACACATTGCTTTTCGGGCTGAGTGTTGTGTCGCGCAGGGCGTCGGTGTTGCGCGGGGTGGCAAACGGCCCCCACGCGTGGTGTGATCCACCAGCATCAACACTTCACGAACGTGCAGATTCTGCTCCTGGGTCCCATGTCGTGACATCGGCCCAGGGGCAGGGGGGTCGGGACTTCCAGGACCACGTTGCTGAACAAGTCGGGACGTCGGCGGAGTTTGGGGCCGCACATGGAGACACATCACAGCGGCGGATCTCTGGGTGCCTCCCTCGGCCCGCCGCCCCCCCTCCTCCTCCTCCTTCCTCCTCCTCCTCCTCCTCCTCCTCCTCCTCCTCCTCCTCCTCCTCCTCCTCCCCCGCCCCACCCCGATCAGGGCCAGCCCAGCGACGAGCCGGGGTTCTTCTGCGAGGCGGAGGCCCCGGCGCCAGCTGGCGGGAATGCGTCCACGAGTGACGACGCAGACGACGTCTCCCCCCGCACGGCCGACCAACGGACCCGCCCACGACGACGACGACGACGACGACGACGACGACGACGACGACGACGACGACGACGACGACGACGACGGCGACGTGTCCCCCCCCGTCCGCCCGACCAACTCGCCCACCACGACGTCGACGACGTGTCCCGCCCGCCCGATCGACGGACTTGCCCGCGGCAGCGACGACGACGACGACGACGACGACGACGACAACGACAACGACGACCAGGACGTCGACGACGACAACGACGCCCACGACGACACCGACGACAACGACCAGGACGACCAGGACGACGACGACGACGTCGTCGTCGTCGTTTGCCAGCGGCGACGGGGGGGGGTTCGGCCCCCCAGACTTTGGTAAGGGAAAGATCCGACTTTCGGAAGGGGGGGGCTCGGCTACAGAGCGGAGGAGTTTGGTATTCTGCACCAGGGAAGCATACACAGAAGACGCGATATCGAAGGAGGCGGACGATGAGAGAGGAGATGAGAGAAGAGCAGGAGACGCACAAGGAGGAGGAGGAGGAGGAGGAGGAGGAGGTTGTCTTTCACAATCGTTATCCCCAACAGACGGCATCCTCCTGTTCTCTGCCTCGCGAGTGCCTCCACGCTCTCTCCCGCAAGCTTCTCGCGAGATCTGTGGTACTGGACGTTGCCAGCCGTGGTGTCAGATCTGCCATGGACACTACACGCTGTTGCGCGTGCCGGCACGCGGGGCAGCGTGGCATCGACTCGGTCACCCACGGGGGGCCCGAAGGCAACCGCGCTGCGCGCCTGGCGTCCCTGGCAGGAGAGCTGCCCCTCCTCTCCAGGGAGGCGCCGCGAGGGCTTGAAGATGACCGCAAGGTCGGAGGGATGGGGGAGCGATTGTCGGGCAGCCTACTTCTGGTTCTGCACGCCCGAAATGGGTATTGAAAGAATGGGTACAATGCCCAACAGCGGATCTTGTTCATTTTGAACAGGGCTTGCTGTCCACGCCGCCGCGGCCTGTGTCCATTCGAGACAGGAGGCCGCCTGCCCAACAGCGGCCGCTGTTGGTTTGGGACAACATTTGCTGTTGGGCATTGTACCCATTATTTCGGTACCCATGTCGGGCGTCCAAACTGGTGCGTGGCTGGCGTCGCCCGGGGAAAGCCTGCTGGTCTCTACTGACGGGGGGCATGGTCGACCCCAATCCCCGACAGTTGGTTTTTTTGTTGTCCGACCCGACGGATCAATCGGGACCAAACCTGGGGTGTACGATGTCGGGGGGGGCGTCCTTAAGCGACAGTAAGCGACAGGGATGCGTCCGACTGGCCCGCTGGGGGTGCAGCCCTGAGCCCCCCTTTTCTCCCAACCATCCTGTGGTGTTGGGTCCTCGTTTTGAAGAGACAGCGCCCCGCGTCCCTCACTCCTCCTTCCCCTCCTCCCGCCTTATAACACTTATCATCATCATGCCATCTCAATGATCATCATCATCATCGTCATCGTCATCACCAACATCATCACCATCAGTGCCGTCATCATCACCATCACCCCTCACACGTTTCGTGGTCCCACAGGAAGCTCCACCGAAGGCCACAGTGCCACCGCCCGCATGCGTCACGCACACCCATTTCGGCACACCCCTCACACGTTTCGCGGCCCCACAGGGGGCTCCACCGAAGGCCCCAGTGCCACCGTCCGCATGCGTCACGCACACCGATTTCGGCACACCCCTCACACGTTTCGTTTCCCCACAAAGAGCTCCGCCGAAGGCCACAGTGCCACCGCCCGCATTCGTCACGCACACCCATTTCGGCACACCCCTCACACGTTTCGTGGCCCCACAGGGAGCTCCACCGAAGGCCCCAGTGCCACCGCCCGCATGCGTTACGCACACCCATTTCGGCACACCCCTCACACGGTTCGTGGCCCCACAGGGGGCTCCACCGAAGGCCTCATTGCCATTCGCCCGCATGCATCACGCACACCTATTTCGGCACACCCCTCACACGGTTCGTGGCCCCAGAGGGAGCTCCACCGAAGGCCCCAATGGTTGCGTTCGCATGCGCCCACCGCACCTGTTTCGGCACACCTCTCACGCGCTCCGTGGCCCCATAGGGGATTCCACCGACAGCCCCAGCGGCTGCTTTCGCATGCGCACACCAGAAACATGTTGGCACACCCCTCACACGCTTCGTGGCCCTATAGACGGTACTCACAATTGCATGTGGTTGGGTCCTTCGCCTGTCTAATTTTCTGATCGGCCAGTGTTTGGCAAGAAAAATGTGGAGACCAGGGGAGACAATTCCCATGTGACTCCCGTCCCCAGCCGCACCCCGACAGGTCCGCAGATGCCTCGCCCTCGATGTCGTTTAAGTGCGATTTGAATTTGAGTGCGGATCTTGCGCCAATTGGCATATTGAACTCCAGCGCGGGGTCTACTGATTTTGGTGGTGATTATTTGGCTTACGCCGCACCGGCTTCTGGGTCCTGCTTGTATGTATGTTTGTATATATATATATACCTATATCTCTATGTATGTATGTATGTATGTATGTATGTATGTATGTTTGTATGTATGTATGTATGTATGTATGTATGTATGTATGTGTGTATGTATATACACACATAAGTATATATGTATGTATACTGGCCTTCGGTCCATCCCGCCACCATGCCTGGGTTGTGGTTCAGAGGCATATTGGATGTTCATTCGGATCACGTGAGAAGCCTCTCGGGGGCCTGCCCGAGGCAGTGTGGAGGCCTCTGGGGGGCTGTTTTGGGGCCTCTTGGGGCCTCTGTTGGGCCTTTTGGGGGTCTCTTGGTTGCCGCTTGGGCGGAAAGTTAGAATTTTCGGTTTGTTGTCCCCTTCTTGGGCCCTTTTTGGGCCCCTCTTGGGGCTCTCGAGGCCCTCTTGGGCTGTCTTGCGGTCCTTGGCCGTCTTGGGGCCCTCTTGGGGCGTCTTGGGGCCTTCTTGGGGCCTTCTTGGGGGCCTCTTGGGCCGTCTTGTGGCGGTCGTGGGGGCCCCTTGTTCCGTCTTCGAGCGTCGGAAGCCGTAAAATTAAAGCCGAAAGCTTCTACAAAACCAATGAGACTCACCGATTTGGGCATCTTGGGGCCTTCTTGGGGGGCCTCTTCGAAGCCTCTTGGGACGTCTTGAAGGCATCTTGGGCCGTCTGGAGGCCATCTTGGGCGTCTTGGGGCGATGTTTCGGCGACTCGTGGCCCTCTTGGACCGTCTGGGTGGTCTCTTGGGGCCCTGGTGGCCCGTTTTGAAGCCCTCGATGCCCCTGGCAGAATCTCTGGGGCAGAGGACCGGCCGGCCCGGATAGACCCCCCCTCCGAATCGACCGGATCTGGCTCCCGGGGGAGGGGTTTGGGGAGGGGAAAGCACTCTAAAAGAGGCTGGGCACAGGCGAGAGGAAGCGAGCGCTTGTCCGCGGCAATTTGTTCTCAAGCGGCCAGCCGCCAAGATATGACTGCGCCTCATCGCGATGCAGACGATTCGCCATCGAGACTGAATAACATATTCGCTCGACATGACTCGTCGCTCCCGCGACTCACTCCTGCTCTTGGAGCTATCGTTATGGGGGCTTCGCTTTGGCCAAACATCTAGTTGGGCCTCCCAAGCCCCCTTCAAAGGTAGCGGAACTGTCCTGTGGAGGACAGCTATCGCCCGACTCCTCACCATCCACGGCACAATCAGGTGGACGAATTACTGACATGGTGGAACATCAGGGAGCAGTGGCTTCGCGCGGAGGAATGCGCATATATACGCACAGTCGCAAGGACATTTGCAGCGCTACCTCTGCTCACGCGGAGGTCCCCTACATGAGTCCTACCCCTCTGCGCTACTACACTCCTGAAGTCCACCCTCCTACTCCATGTGGGGAGACACTATCCACGGCAACATGCGATACGATATTGCGCCGCCTCCACTTCCACGCAGGCTAACGACGACGTCACATCATAAACCACAAACACAAACAACCGACCACGACCTACGAGGCCATTGGATCGGTATTACCATATTTGGCCTTCCATGTGGAGACGACGCACGCACTGCCAGCCCTCACTGGGGCCCTGCCGGTGACGTACCTTTCCGCGAGTTTGTTCGCGAGGTACACGCCTGGATCAGCGCGACCACAGGCGCCATGACCCCCCCCCCCCCAAACAGGCTGCGGCACTACAGCGTGGCCTGGGAGGGCTCGCAAGGACCATAGCCATGAGAGTTCCTTTTGCAGTCATTGGCATCGGTGTTACTATGGGTGGTCGCCACACCGACGGCGTCACCTATACAATGTTCCACCTCAGCACGGAGTTTGAACATCTGGAGGAGGAGCGCCAACTCAAATCGGGAACAGCTCTCATCGACTGTCGCGTCCATGCGGGGGAGCGGATCGACCAGACTTTCGCCCGCTTTGAGATGGCACGCTTTGAGGTCGAGACCGCATGCTTCAACGTCCCCAACTTCCAGACTTTGACAGCTATATAGTTCAGAGTTCTGGGTGTTGGTGCATCGCGTGCGCAGCAATTACTACAACCACGCAACTACCAAATGCCAAGGACTCAGCAGCAGCTTAACTCTCTATTAGAGCGCGCGAGGTCTTATGCCCAGATTGCTGAGCGACCCCCTGTCAACATTAGTGACATACTCAGCCACGGTCACCTCGCCGATGTCTTTCATACCGGGACTCACGCAGGGCAACTTGCTAACAACGCTTGGAATTATGATCCACAACTAACCGAGGCCACCACTTCATCAAGTCTGCAGGGTGGCTAGCCCACGGGTCGCAAGATTCCTGCGCTCGTTGCCTGGGGCTGTCGGCAACGGCGGTCCCGACCCTAGCCACTGCCCCAGTTGGCTCGGCGAGGCAACCCGCTGAGTCCGAAATTGATTCTGGCGCCGACACCGACATCTCATCGGATGAGAGCATGGTAATCTGGACTACTCCGGCATGCCTGCGCATC